CATTCCAGTGCACAGTATCTCGCTTATAAAAATTTAGCAAGTATCAAGCTGTTCTGAGCTTAAAACGTGGAATTTCGCAAAATTAGAATAATTTGATTACTTACAGGCTAACTTAAAGAACCAATGGAAATGCTTGTCATAATGAACGGGACGTTGCGTAAAATCACAATTCACTCGCGATTTATTCGCTCACGTCTCTCTGTGTCTGATGGGAGTCGCTGCTCGAAAGTAGGCTTTCGATCGCGCTGTCTTGTTGCGAAATCGTTTCCGAGCTCCTGGTCATAGTAAGTTTGTTGGACTTAGCCTCTATACGATTACACTTAAGATTCGGATCTATCAAATTTGGATTCGACACGGAATGTATAGAAATGTTAGGCTGAGCGGGCAGCGGTCGTTGACACGAGTGCAGCATTAATTCTGGTCCACCGCCATATGTATTCAGGAAAAATTGCCACAACTCTTCGGGAATTTGGCCGTAATCTGAGCCTACAAGCAAAGACATAAAGATGAGTATAAAAGTGACGAATACATTATAGATTCTTTTTCACAATTTGATAAATAATAATTTGATAATAATTTTATTACAAATAATCTCTCTTGAATATGAAAGAAAACTCACCAACTTTAAGACTATTTTGTCCATTTTTATTTACAACGATGGAATTATTATCAATTGGTCCTGGTGGCTGTGTTTCTTTGCCTCTGACGAAGCTCTGCCATTGTCTCAACCAAGCCATAGCTAATGCGTAAATAGCTGTGTGATTGTCGGAAGAGTGATTCAACCGTTGGAATATTTCCATCTCGTATTGCCTACGTTTCTGCAAAGATTCGTACTTCTCTTCACAGATTGGACACTCGTATAGATGTGTGCAAGCTGGGCCTCCTCCAAATCTGAAATAATGTAAATAGAAAAAAACATATATATATATATATATATAATACAGATAGTTTTTGAAAGCTATCTGTATTAACAAACAGAGAAGTATGCATAATTTTTTTATTAGAGATACGCAAAACACCGTGTAATTACAAAATCTAGATTTATTTTAATCAAAATACAATATAAAGATGTATTCTATTGACAAAAATCACAAATAAAGATATCCTCTTGTTCGACATTGCTGTAGGCAATCGACTTCTTTATTTAACTTTTTAACTTTAAGGATCTCAAAAAGCTTTTTTTAATGGTTTCTTTTTTTGAGTGTTAGTTTTCGTTTCGAACTGCTTTTTGTAAGGAAACAAAGTCAGGATAACAGTTTTTCCTCTTTTCATTACATGAGATGTGTAAGTACCCGGTTTTGCCCCAACACAAGGAAAAAAACAAATACGGCGTATATATAGAAAAATAATTTTGTATATCGCAGAATCAAAATTATGCATCAAGAAAACTTACGCATTATACAAATATTCCCAAACTGCCTGTGGTATAGGCATGCTAATCTTATCGACGAATTGCGCCCTAACAGGAATTACTCCTCCGTGAGGACACAGGAAGTCGGAGTTATCGATCGGGCCGGGTTCGGAGAATGTATTGAAGCGGTTGATCCATTGCCGGGACACGAAGAAGTTCAAATCAGACAGCTCGCGAGATGATATTTCTATGAGTTCCATGGTCTTATCACGCAGTTGCGACATCTCCGGGGACCATTTTTTGTAAAAGAGCACGTACGCTTCGCAGTGCTTAACTGTTTCCGGCGACACTTCCGTCACGCATTGATCGTCGAACTCGTACCATTTGTTGGTGACCGTATTCAACGCGTAACAGGTGTAATGACCGCCACCGGCCGTACCATGATGGCAAATAACTGATATTAAATTGTAGGTTGTGACTTTGGACACACACTCCTTGTGCAGATATGGTCGCATATCAAGACCTTCGAGGGGAAATGACACATAGTTGGCAATCTTTGAGCTGAACATTAATTCGTGACGGAACCTCTTCAAATGAACGCACAAAATCTCGGGCAGTTCCAGGACTTTGGAGAATTTGATGCCATTGCGTAGCTTATTGCACTTTTCACAGCTATACATGTTGTCGCCTTTGAGCTCATCGGCGCTAAAAAATGCAGAGAGGCAGTCGTGCAGACTGACCACTGGTCCCCAGAACCACGAGCGCATCCACTGCAGGAACCACGACAGCCATCCTGATTGATTGGTCACGTAGACTACGTCAGAGCATGGTCCGGCCTTTTGCGGCGTCAGCGATCCCTGATGCAACATATCGATGTGATCTCTACTCGGAATGGGTAAGGACAAATCCTGAAAAGTCTCCACCCGTGTGGAAATTCTATCGCACGTCAGGCACTGCACGCTACTGAGGAGCTTACCGTCGAACGTGTCGCTGATGATGCTGCGCGTTTTCATTTGCTTTTTAGTGCGATGCTTGGCCGGTGAGTTTTGCGGAGAACGTTGCGGTGGAGCAAACGTCGACAACGCCGGCTCAATGTTCGATTTTTTCAGGTTTCTGTTGGTGAATTTGTTACGCAATTTCTCCGTCTGCGATACTCGGGAATACCGTCTCTTTGTGCCGCGTTCACCTTCGTCACTCAGCGAGCTCTGTTCGCTTACGCCCGAGTCACAAGTTTCGTACTCGGCGTCGGATTGACTGGACGCATTGCCACCGTCTATCTCGGTCTCGTCCTCGTCCTCCGACGAGTGATCGCCCAGTCCTTTAAGTCGCAGCTGTAGATCTTTGTCGTCCTCGATATGCTCTTTCAGCTCTTCGTGCAGTTGATCCATGAAACATCTGAGAAATTCTTGAGTATCGTGTTGATGATACCCTCTGAACATGGGATGGACTGTCCTAATACCTGATAGAATACCGTGCGGCACGACATATCCCCTAGTCTTTTTGTTCCACATATCTCGAATGAGATTCAGATAGCTTAGACTCAACCCAGGTTTCCTGTCTTTTGACATGTAATTGATTATATGACCGCATTCCAAGAAGAATTGCGTCAAGGGAGACACATTGGATAGAGCTTGCAACGCTGCATTCATATAACACGTGTTGCCAATATTTTGCAAGCCCACTAAACCTCTTGGCTTCCCGGAAAAGTCCTTGCTCTCATCCGAATCTGTACTGTCGGCGGAATCCCTGGATCGCTCGTTAAACGAATTTACTTTTTCCGAATTAGTTCTGTTTATAGACCAGTCTCCATAAAATCTATGAAAAAAGAAGAACATACGAGATATTTCAAAGTTTCTAAATTTCATTTTTTAATCACATTTGCTTGGAAATATTGTAATACTCCAAGTGAATTTTATTACTATTAAAAATGTGAAAAAAACTTTCCATAATCTATTCCTCATCAATCAGTTGTCAAACCTTTGAAATATTAATTCAGACAACTGTTTAATTAAATAATTTAATGCAGTTTATATTATTTTGATTTTTACTCACTTGTCAAACATTAATCTATCCAAGCCATCCAGTTTGGATTCGACGCTACCACCAGGAGCGTCCCCGGCATACTTGTTGCTCATAGTCTTGAACTCCATTTGCGTGGGCGACAATGGGGGTGACGGCACATGTTTGGCGATAGCCTCGCTCTTACAGGCATAACACCAGATTCTCTTGGTAGACAGATTCATGTGGGCGCAGTGGCTCGGATAGTTCTGGTTGTGAATGGTACTGTGGTCGAGATGGGTCTCGGCGCAGCCGACCCAGCGGCAGTCGGGGAACAAGCAAAGCCAGAGATTAGGTCCCGAAATGTCGCAATCGCTACACTTGACGAAACGCTCCTCCCGCGTCATCACTGCCTCGATGAAGGCGAGATCACTGCGGTTGGCCAGATGCGGGCAGTTTCTCACGACTAACGGCATCTTTCCTAGAATCGAATAGTCTTCTTCTATCAGGACGATTCGCGTGACGACGCTTCTTTCCAACGACGTGTACAATAATCGTCGTCGCTTTTACATGCAGTCGGGATTATTGTCCTGACTACGCCTCGCTCGTGACAACACGTGTCATTGTCATCGTCATCAGTGTTGCTGTCGTTGCGCTATATTGCTGATGTTGATCATCGTAACGTCAGTGTTCTCCTCTCTAACCTGACCGGGACATGTCGCGCGCACCGTAATTAACTATCGCGAGTGTTGCGCACAAAAATGATTGTCATTGAAGGACAGGTGTGTATACGTATACACATATCTGTGTAAACGAACTGTTAAGGTTAAGGTTTATCCAGACGGATTTGTCCAACCTCATGAAACGTACGTGTGAAGAAATTAATTAATCGCGATCATTGCGGATCTAAATTAGATATCATCATAGATATACTTTACCTGTTTGCAAATATTTCGTTCGATTGACCAATTAGAGGTAATGACTCTTTGCTTTGATTGGTCGATTTGCGTTTTTATATGAAAAGCAATTTGTCGGGTGCGTATAAACCGGACCTAAGTTCATATCAGACTACATATTGAAATTTAAATTAAAGATTGGAATTTGACTAAGCAAAAGAATCTAAAATACCTTTCTGCTGATTAATTAAATTTCAACCTTCAATGCATAGTCCGATATGGGGTTCAGGTCCACGATGAATTTACTATTTACTATAATATTGACAGACGTTTCCACAGTCGTTCCTCTTCAAAACATCCGTCAATTTGCGGTTAGCAGTTTTAAATATACCATAGACTTAAATGCCTATGATAGGCGATTTTGTGAGCATTCTTACCGCCATCTATGAAAAATGAATTAAAACACTGTCTACGTTCAAGGCCATTCAAACTCGTTGCCAAAGATTAAAATGTCGACTGCGAATGTCCATAGCGAAACGTGGTATTGCGTCCCGTAGAGGATGGAAATTCAATAAATAGAAAAGCAGAAAGAG